TACAGTTTAAAGGTTACGTTCAGAGACGTGCTGTTCTATTTTTGTTTGAGGGTTAGTGGTGATCTCAGTATTACAAGTGGAATTTTTACTGCTTAGTGTTTGTATAGTACTCTTTTGCATCATTTTCACATGAATATTTAAATTGATAGCCACAGAGTAACCTTGAATGTAGTTTTTCAAATGAGATTTAATGTGAGACATTCATAACATAAACAAAATTCCCCAATTTTCAGCTTTGACAACTGAAGCACATTTTCTCAAATCAAAGAAACATTCGTAGTTTTAGAAAGTAAATAGCACAATCTGTATATGCCTCGAATAAGTCAAGGAAAATTCGTAACAATAACTTAAGAGTCATTACATATTTCAGAATAAATCATGAGTGAAAGTACTAGAAATAGGTAATTAAATGTAACATTATAGTATCGCTGATCTAACACTTAAATCTTTAATTTGTATTTGCACTTGAAAACTAATTATAGCCCAAAACTTGAATCTGATTTTGTTAAGTTATAATTTCAGACAAAAAATATGAAGTAGATTAGATAAAACTATTCACGTTCAACAATTATTGTTCACCTTTATTTTAAGAATAAACAGAATTAAATTTATATTCTGGAAGATGATTACATAGACTAGGGAAAATGAGATACATGTGGTTTATGATTAGGGGAAAAAATTTCAAATTACATCTGTTATAGTTAGTCTGAAATACAGATACAAAGAAACTTGTGTATCTTTATCTTGAAAACTATCTAATTTGTTGTTGATGTTTGGAAGATTTCGTATTCGGGAATTATATTTTAACATTCCAGACTGTTAACAATGGGAGACTTTAAGAAGTTAATTAGCGAATTGACTACCGAAAGAGACAGCCTTAAAGACGAGCTAGAACGACTTCATCGTGAGTTGGCCCAGACAAGCCATGAAAAGATCCAGTCTGCTCAGTATGGTTTAGTGTTGCTGGATGAAAAAGAAGCACTCCAGCAGAGGTGTGAAGACCTTGAGGCACTTTTTGATGCAACAAAACATGAACTGGATTGTTTAAAAGAGGTGGGTAGAATTCAGTAAACTACCCATTTGGTAAACTGGCTTTAGTTGTACAACCTGTTCTATAGAAAATAAACCTTAGTATACTAAAACCAGGTGTTTTACATGTAGCTGAGTTAACACTAAAACTATTGTTTTTGTTTATTTAATGGTTATTGAAAATTTATTTAGGGAAGTGTTAGCTTTTCAAACTCTGAATTTATAAGCTTAGTATATATATATATTCAATTTTGTTTGTTAAACAGTGTTTATAATTTTATTTTCTTCTTTTATAAAATAAGGTTTAAGTCATTAATAATTTCTTTCTGGTACTATAACATAAACTTACTTAAGGAGAAAAACAAAAGGGGCTATATATATAATGAAAAGATCCAGTTTGGAGGATTCCACCCCTGATCCCTAAGTAATAAATATGCAAGTCAATACAATTGTACACTTTTGTATTTGGATACTAGCCAAGTAAAACACTAAATATCTCAGATTAGTAGCAATTGCTACCTTACCAGACCAGCTAGGAGTTATTCCCAAGCTCACATATCTTATACTTAATGTTACCATTACTACCTTATTATTTGAATATTTAAACATATTTTCTATCCAAGCTTTCACCGATTTTGGCTTCAGTTATTGTACACTAGTAAAAACAAGTACATCTGCCATCTTTTACTCATTAATATGATTCTATAAATACTCATTACCTTTCTGTGTAACATTTCAAGACTGACAAAAAAACTAATTTTATACTTGTGAAATATTTTGCAAATGTTACTAATAACTCTCAAGAAATCTAATACTTTGCTTTTAAAAATAGTTAAGCTCTTTTGTTTTGAGAAAATACATTACAGATGTTATTGTGTTACACATAAAGAGCATAATCTGAGTGGTTGTTTAGGAAAATCTGAAGTTTCCAGTGACTGGTTTTGTTTTTTTAATTATGCACAAAGCTACACAAGGGCTATCTGTGCTCTGCCCACCACGGATATCGAAACCTGGATATCGAAGTCCGCAGACATACCGCTGTGCCACTGGGGTGCACCAGTGACCGGATATAACCAAGAGTGGTATCTGTAAACATGGTGTCTGAGAGGAAAACATCTTAGTTCATCCCTGATTAAAGTATGTGTCACCACTTAAGTATGTGTCACTTAACCCTGATTGAAGTATGTGTTTAACCCTGATTGAACCCTGATTAAAGTATGTGTCACAACACATACTTCAATCAGGGTTAAGTGACACATACTTTAATCAGGGTTAAGTGACACATACTTTAATCAGGGTTAA